TTATAAATAAATATATTTTTCATAAATAAATATTATATAGATATTATTAAATTCAAGAAAGAACTTTTTCTTTCCATTTGTTTTGAGGAGTGATTAGCACTACATTATTTTTTCTGCTTTTCTCTACTTAAATGTTTTATAACATAATAATGACACCTCACTAGGTACATTTATGGTTTTAATCAGAATTTTAAGTAGCCAAATGATATCACGACATGGTACCATGATAGGCACTATATCACAAAATGATCTTATATTTATGATTTGCAAGGGTCTTAATATTTTTATACAGACTGGTCAAAATTAGTGCTTATGATGGCAGGCAGTGTGCCTATTGAAGGTCAGTGTCAACACTAGGATCCTTAAATCTAAGATGGTAACATTTTGCAATGACTTATAACTTTGGCTTATTTACTACATCAATTACTAGAAATAAGTTCATGCCAAAGGTCAAGAAAGAATTGTATCATGAGCAGCGGAGTAATTAACAGTGTGAACTGCATATACCTCTTTGGGTAAATGAGAAGCAGCTCAGGTGTTTGCATGATGGATTGGAAGCATCATCTACAAGGCTGCTGTATCACAAGGCAGGTAAGTGGCGTAGTTGGGATCATGCTGAAGAAATTTTTTACAAGTGAAACAAATGACCTGTCTGTTTTCCAAGGGTAAATCTTCACCTCATCTCACCAAAGAAGAATGAACATTTTGATCGCCTTTACAGCACGTTTAAATTCTGAATATTTCTTCTCTGGAAGGGCATTCACAAGTAATAACAAAAAAATACAGCTTAATTCACTCAGTTGAAAAACTATAAATTTGAAAACTCATCTAGCAAAGAATGATCTGGTTTACTTTCACTTGTTTCCAGAAAGGAAAATTTTGGCTTCAATACCATCTACACTAATAAAAGAGAAACATGGTAATTAGTGTCACTCCGCTACCCTCCCCATTGGCTAATCCCCCTGTCACTCACAGAGTAGGGCCGAGATATGCAAATTAACTGGCAGTCAAGATGGCAGCCAGCAGCCAGGCAGCTGATGCGAACAGGGAGGCTTGCTTGCTTCAGTGACGGAGACCTCCAACGTTCCCCACCTGACTTGCCGGCCTCTCAGCTGCAACTCTAAGCAACTATGTTGCGAATAAGGAAGCTAAAAAAAACCCAGAAACCTGCTTTACTCAGCGGAGCTTCAGCCAGCCAAACCGCAACATTGTATCAAATACAGACAGCAAACAAAGGCCAGAAACCTGTTTTCAGCAGCCAAGGCCTCAGAGCTAAAGCTGGCCCAGAATAAAAAAAGAAAAAAAGAAAAAAAGGAGCAGTTGGGAGCTTCAGTCACCCGTCAGCCTGACAACGGCCCTCAGGCCCTCACCCAGACTGGCCAGGCACCCCAGTAGGGACTCCCACCCTGATCCAGGACACCCTTCAGGGCAAACCAGCCAGCCCCACCCATGCACCAGGCCTCTATGCTATATAGTAAAAGGGTAATATGCCTCCCAGCACCAGGATCAGCGTGACAGGGGGCAGTGCCCAAACACCCTGATCGCCCTGCAGCTCTGTGTGTGACAAGGGGCGGCACCCCAACCCCCTCCCCCCCCACGGACCCTGCTCTGTGTGTGATGCCATAACCTCCCCATCAGCCCTGCCCTGAGCGTGCCAGTGGTGGCACCCCAACCCCCTGATCGGCCCTGCTCTGTGGGTGATAGAGGTCAGTGCCTCAACCCCCTGATCCGCCCTGCCCTGAGTGTGACAGGGGGCGGGGCCCCAACCCCCCAATCAGCCCTACCCTGAGTGTGACTGAGGGTGGCATCGCAACCTCCCAATCTGCCCTGCTCTGTGCATGACAGGGGATTGTGCCCCAACTCCCCAAATGGCCCTGCTCTGAGCCCGACCAGGGGCTGCACCTAGGGATTGGGCCTGCCCTCTGCCACCCGGGAGCAGGCCTAAGCCAGCAGGGCATTATCTCCCAAGGGGTCCCAGACTGCAAGAGGGCACAGGCCGGGCTGAGGGACCCCCACTTCCACCGAGTGCACAAATTTTTGTGCACCAGGCCTCTAGTTCTTATAATAATAGCGTTAAATGCTAAATTTTGAATATGACTTTCTTTGCTTTCAAACCTTATGTTATGCTGATATTATTTAATTTGACTTTTTCAATTAATATTAACAATGTAAATGAAGGTATGCAAATAGAAATCAATAAACTGCTATGGCACCTAAAACTAGATAAGATGAAGTTGGAATGCCAGGCCTCTGTACACATCTGATTACTTTTTAAAAGTATAACATTATTTTGCAAATATTCTATATTTATAAGTACCTACATTTATGGATAGTTATCTTTCATTATTAAACTAAACAAAAAATGTATCTTCTGAATTATTTGCTGCCTATTGCATTATAAAATACAAGACCTGCTAAGAGTTTATATTTGAATTAAAGAGTAATGAATTACAAAATAAAATATTCATAATTAGATATTTAATATTTCAATTTGTGTTGTTTTTAACTGAATTAAAAATAGCTAGCCATATATATTTGTGTCATTTACTTTCTCAAAACAAAATTTGGTAACATTTAAGAGAATTTAATTATATTTCTGGTAGGTGATTTATTTTAAAGCCGCTTGCTTCCCTTAGTAAGATGATGTGCCTGACACAGGAGTTCATGACCCCATTGTGTATTACCATATGTATATTACTCAGTAGGATGACCTGCCTGACACAGGAGTTCATAACCCTGCTGTACGTCACCATATGTGTATCACTCAGTAGATGACCTGCCTGACAGAGCAGTCTTTGACCCTGCTGTACATCACCACATGCACATCACTCTAAAAGTAATGTAAAACGTACTCACCCTCTCTCCTTCAGGCCCCAGCTGTCCTGCTTCCCCAGGAGAACCAATGAAACCCTTAAAGTAAACAAACAATCTATATTATTTCATTTAGACATTCACCTTGTAATTCCAAATGAGATCCTTGAATTTCTTCATAGCAATGTGAAATTATACAGCTTAACACTATGAATGTTTCCCTTACCTTATTGCTTTTCTTCCAGAAGTTACAGATCAATCTTTTCATTAAAGAAAAAAAGTAGGGAACATAACTTAAGACATGGTAGCTAATAAAAATCAATAAGACCAAATCCACTAGCCAGTGTGGGTGAGTGGTTGAGCTTTGACCTATGAACCAGGAGGTTATGGGTTTGATTCCCGATTAGGGCACATGCCCAGGCTTCGGGCTCAGGCTGTGGGAATCGATCCCCAGCAGGGGGTATGCAGGAGGCAGCTGATCGATGATTCTCTGTCATCATTGATGTTTCTCTCTCTCACTCCCTCTCCCTTTCTCTATGAAATAAATAAAAATATATTTTAAAAAACACACAACACAACCAAATCCTTTTCTTCATTGATTTTTATAGAGGGCAGAAAATACATATGTATATTCAATTAAAATTTAAGCAAGATAGAGGTATCAAAAGACTATAACAAGTACAAAAATAGAAGCACAGGGGAGGAAGAGATTCATTGTAAAGTGGCAGGAGGTCAGGGCATTCAAAGAAGGTTTCAAAGGAGACTGGCACTGGAGATAGGCCCACAGAGTAGGTAAAATCTTGATAAGCAGAGGCTGGAGAAAGAACACTCCAACCAGAATAATTATAGTGAGCATGGATATAGTAGAGAGAGATCAGAAAGTGTTTTTAAATGATAACTGACAGAATTTCATGTGCAAGATGCTTTGAATAAGGGCCAAGACCCATTGTGCCCTCAGGACGATTCCAATGGTCTGAGAAACAAGGAGGACATATAAATAATTATGCGAGGTACTTTATCCTAACATACTTTAGTCATATCTCACCTGTGGCAAATAACTTGTTTCGCCAATTTAATAGATGAAATGTATAGTAGTTAAGAGACCATATTAAGGAGAACCTTAAATTTTAGGCTAAGAATTTTAGTCTATATTTAGACTGGGAGCAACTGACTTTGGGGAATTATGGTAATCCCCTGATTTCAAGTTGTTTTTTCAAAATATTAATCTGTTGACAAGATACAGAATACTTTTAAGACAGGAAACACTGACGGTAGGAAAATCTGTTAGAAGGCTCTTTCAACAGTCAAATTTGAAGGAATATCAGTCTGGTTCACTGATTCACAAAACATTATTTTAGTGCCCACTGTGTGTGAGGAATAGGGATTATAAAGGTGAATAAGAGAATCAGTGCCCTCAAGAAGTTCAGAGTTTACTAGGAACAAGGGTCAAACAAATAAATAATTGTAATATCATCTGAGAATTATTTTGTGAGTATGTGATACGTGATATGATAAATGTAATATGCAATGGGAACTTTGGAGGCAGAATGACCAACTTGGTCTAGAGCAGCGGTTCTCAACCTGTGGGTCGCGACCCCTTTGGCGGTCGAACCACCCTTTCACAGGGGTCGCCTAAGACCATCTTGCATGTCAGATATTTACATTACAATTCATAACAGTAGCAACATTACAGTTATGAAGTAGCAACGAAAATAATTTTATGGCTGGGTCACAACATGAGGAACTGTATTTAAAGGGCCAGAAGGTTGAGAACCACTGGTCTAGAGGAAAGATTCAGCTTTATAGAAAAGGAAACATTTGGGCTGAGTCTTTAAGACATTCCAGATAGGACTAGTAATGTACCATCAATCATTCAATCAATCAATAGGAATGAAATGATATTGCATTTTCATCAAACTGCAAATAGTTCTATGTGGTTGGCAGGCAAGAGGTGGAGTTAAAAAGAAATGATGGAAGTTTGGAATTTACTATTGGCCATTTAAAACAATAGGCATAATCTTTATATAATCAAATTTGCAGCTTATAAAATTCACTAGGATTATAGTGTATCAACAGGTCTTTGTATATGTCTATAGACAACAAACAGGAAAGGTGAGTTTGATAGAAAGGATGAGTTTTGTTAGTCATCTGAGTCTGTGGTGATGAGAGGCATTCAAATCGAATTATCTTGGCAGGGAATTGAAATGTGAAACTCATAGACAGCTCATAGAGAGATATATTATTTGAAAGCCAGATGGGTCAGAAGCCTTAAGGATAGACTAGAGCTCTGAGAAGAAAACAAGCAAAAAATAACCACTGAACCAGAGAAACACTGAAATGGCGATGGGAGAAGAATGATTTTATAAATACAGAGAAAAGCCAAGGTATAAAAAAAAATTGAAGGAGCAATACAAGGGGCCATTTTCACTAAATTCTAAATAAAGGCTACTTATTTGAATCAGAGAATGGGTGACTTTTCAGAGTAAATTCTTCCATAATAATATATATTAAGAAAGGATTAAGGTTTTTTATTCACAAAAGTCAAAAGGCGGAAGAAACACAAATGTTCAACAGATGACTAGATAAACAAAATGTGGCACATTCATACAATGAAATATTATTCAGCCTTAAAAAGGAAATTCTGACATATGCTACAACCTTGAATTAACCTTGAAGACAATCATGCTAAATGAAATAAACCAATCACAAAAGGACAGATAATGTATGTTTACATGTAAATGAAGTACATTGAGTAGTCAAACGCATAGACAGAGTAGAATGGTTGCCGGGGTCTTGGAGAGAGAGAAAATGAGGAGTTATTGTTTAATGGGTTTGGAGTTTCAGTTTGGGAGGATGAAAAAGTTCTGGAGATGGATGGTGGTGATGGTTGCACAACAATTTAAATGGACTTAATGCCTCCTGCTATGAACTGAATGTTTGTGTCCCCTCAATGTTCATATGTTGAAGCCTAATCCCCAATATCATGGTATTTGAAGGTGGGGACTTAGGAAGGTAATTAGGTCATAAAGGATAGAGCCTCATGAATGGGATTAGTATCCTTATAAGAAAATATTTGAGAGATGATTAGTCTCTTGGCCATGTGGCAGAAAGTGAGAAGGTGGCTGTCTACAAGACATGAAGTGGGCCTTTACCAGACCCCAGCACCTTGATCTTCAGCTTCCCAGACTGCAAAACTGTGAGATATGTCTTTATTGTGTAAGCCATCTAGTCTGGGGTATTTTTATTATAGCAGCATGAGCTAAGACACCACTAAACTGTACATTTAAAGTTGATTAATATGGCAAATCTGATGTTTCACCACAAGGGTGGTGAAAGTAGGTTTACAGTTGTGAGTACACAAAACAAAGTTTACTAATTATTATATGATTTTCCATATGAATATCTGTAAACCTACTATTGCCCACCCTTGTATATTCTGTCACACTTTTTAAAAGTAAATGTCTCTGCCCTAACCGGTTTGGCTCAGTGGATAGAGCGTCAGCCTGCGGACTCAAGGGTCCCACGTTCGAGTCCGGTCAAGGGCATGTACCTTGGTTGCGGGCACATCCCCAGTAGGGAGAGTGCAGGAGGCAGCAGATCGATGTTTCTCTCTCATCGATGTTTCTAACTCTCTATCCCTCTCCCTTCCTCTCTGTAAAAAAAATTAATAAAATATATATATTTTTTAAAAAGTAAATTTCTCTGGAATCATTCCAAGTAGCCTGGAGGGATTTATCCTGAATGTGAAAAGCTACTTAGCTGTTGCCATAGTGAGAGGAACACTCCCGTTTGGCAAGGAAAAAGACCTTTAAAATTCCCTATGCTCTACAGATTACATGAACTAGCAAAAAATAAAATAAAAGAGAAAGAATTCATTTCTTGCTACTTAACTTTAACAAGTGAAACACCCTTATAAGAAATTTGTTTCCTTGAAAGCCAAGCATCTAGATTCTAGAGGATGAGGAAGGTTTCTTTTAAAATGAGGCATCTGAAATTATTTCTAATTCTAAACATTTAGGATTATGATGACAAGCTGCATGTATGTTCAGAATCATTAGCTACAGATGGTTTCAAGTTTAAAAACAACTAACTTTTGTCCTAATATATACAGCTGGAGTTTTGCTTATAAATAAAAGATAGAGACACCCTAACTGGTGTACAAATATTGGCGAACTAATCATTGAGAACTCGGAAGCTGAAAGTCAGCCTTCTACTCGACATAGCCCGTTTAGGGTACAAGCACAATATTTTACATTAAAGACTTTAAAGGGAACAGTGCTGTGAATAACTACATAGTAATTTCATAAAAGTTTCTTGATAAATGTTATGCTGATTCTAACAGAATTGTAAAATGTCAGGAACACCCACCAAAGGTATCATACGGGTATTTGTAGTCATTCTCAAAACACCACTACTAAGCTAGAGGTTAGTATGTAATGAAACAAATAACAAAAAAAATAACAACAACACATAAGTTTTTGCTTTGGGGGCTGAAGGTTGTATATCCAGTTGGAGGCAATTTTGGTCACCAGCGGGGTAACTAAGACATCAGGAGTGGCCCTACACACAGTCCTCTTTCATGAGGCAGCCAGCATACTATACTCAAAGAAAGGCCAAATGAGGGTTACAAATGATGGTCTGCTTTAAACACTTCCATTTAAAAAGAAATCATCTTAACAACCATTAATGAAATCAAATAACAGTACCAGTCCAAAGATCATTTATCATGACTTATAAAAATATTAATTTAAAGTGGATTACATGTGGCATAATCCAGTAATAGGACACAAATTAAATAAAAAACATTCCCTTTAACTTCTCAGTGTTTGTTTTTTTTTAAGTCTTTTTAGCTATATTTGGTCTTAATGTCAAAAATCTACATTTGAAGGCGAGGGAGGGTGGGTGGGTAGGGAGTGATCAACCAAAGAACTTGTATGCATAGATATACGCGTAACCCACGGGCACAGACCATGGGGCAGGGCTGGCTGGAAGCAGGCAGGGAGAGAAAAGGGGACGTATGTAATACTTTCAACAATAAAGATCTTTTAAAATCTACATTTGAGACCATCTGTGAATGTGAGACCTAGACAAATGACTCCCCTGATTCCTCCCACTCTCCCAAAAGACCATTTTAAAAATTAAATCAATCAGAAAATATTATATTTGTATTCTTTTAAAAAAAAATTCTTTTATGAAGCTGGCCATCCAAACCTAAAAGTGCAACTTAAAAATGGTTACAACGTAGACAATAATTCTAAATACTAAAGGGGGGGTGGGAGGAGCAACAACCAAAGTATGTATAATACAATACAAAAATGACACGAGGAAGAACTTAAAAGAGTTATAGGAATCACTGAAGCAAGATGAGAAAATGCAGTTAGAGAAAAGCACATATAGTGCCAAATAACATGTCTTGGAGTTATTAGTTCATGCACAGAAGAAACTCCCAAGTTCAATAATTCTATGTAATAAAGAGCTAATATGCAAATGGTCATCATGCCCTCACACCTTCAAGCCATAATGCCATAACGGCTCAGACATTCAACACTAGGGAGAGAGGAATGGGGATCAGCCAGGCACAAATGAGCTCGCAAGAGAGGAATGGGAACCAGCCAGGCTGCAGCCCAGGAGAGGCACAAGCCGCCTGCCCACGGTGCCCTGTGGCTGTGGCCGGCCCAGGTGAAGTTGGCCTGGGTTCTGGGTGCCTGTGGCCAGCCAGAGGGAGGGAAGGCTGGGTCCCGGGTGCCTGTGACTGGCTGTAGAAGAGAATCCTGGGTCCAGGATGTGGGGCGAGGCAGAGGCGGTTAGGGGCGATCAGGACAGCAGGGAAGTAGTTAGGGGCAATCAGGCCAGTAGGGGAGCAGTTAGGGATAATTAGACAGGCAGGCAGAGGTGGCTAGGGGCAATCAGGCAGGCAGAGATGGTTAGGGGTGATCAGACAGGCAGGCAGGAGGATGGTTAGGAGCCGGGGGTCTGGGATTGTGAGAGGCAGACATCCCCTGAGGGGTCCCAGATTGGAGAGGGTGCAGGCCAGGCTGAGGGACCCTGTCCCATGCCTCTAGTAATAGAATAATCTGTTTAGAAAATGCATGCTATGAGCTAGGTAATGTGCTTTAAAAATATTAAGCTCAGGTAGTTTTTGTAAGTACCTGAAAGGTAAGTTTCATTATCAGCATTTAAAGATTTTTAAAAAATGAAACAGAAGGGGTGAATGATATCTAAAGTCATAAACCCAGGGAATGAGAAGTTAAGGGAAAAGGACAAACAAAGAAAACAGACCTAACTCCAAAGCCCATGTTCTTAAACTCTAATCTCTTCTTGTTTCCTGAATTCAAGTCAACATGTGCTTTTAGTACAGCTTCCAATAAAAAAATGCATGACTTTTCCCCAATATATTTTCACATAATGCAAGGGTAGAGATAGCGCAGGATATGCAGAAAGAGTAGCTAAGGTGAGAAGATTTTGGTTCTAGTTCTGGCCAGCTACGACTTTGCCAAATCACATAAATTCTTTAGCTTACTATTTTCTAAATTATAAAATGGAGATAATATACCTATTCTCCTACTTTATATGATTGATAGCAAAATAAAAGAAGAAAATACATATGAAAGTATTTGAAAATGTTTAAGAATTTTAAAAGTTCAAATACTTCATGCATTTATTTCAAAAAAGTATTTTAAATAATATAAGCAACAGATATAAATGCTGGAAAACAACTGACTATAAAATGGAGAATTTCTAAAATAAAATTTTAGTATACTTTTACTAATATTTCCTAGAACCAACTTGGTGTTAATTTATAATATATTACATAACATAGGACAGTAATTCTTTTTACTCCCTTAATTATTAAAAGTGGCTAATAACTCCTTTAATGGTTTGGAAGAGCAGTGATATGTTCTTGATATGATAAGTTTATTTCCTTCTTTGCGGATATTTCTCTACTCCACATAGCTTTATGTCATATTATCTCAGCCTTAAACTAATATGATTTTTTTTGCCTCTTGATTTTTCATGATTTCTTAGCTCTATATACGCTTACATATAAATAATAATACAACTGTTTATAGAGCATATTCTAACACACCAGGTATTTTTTTAGGAGCTATCAAAATAATGTAAATGAGGTAACAGTTATCAAGAAATGATATAAAACCTACTACTATAAGACTACTTTCTGTGGCCCTAACAGAAAAAAAAGATCTATTGAACAAGTAGAATTCTTTTCAGGCTAAACTTGCATTACATTCAAAGTTCCTAAAAAATGGGTGAACATGATAAGTATTTTATATATTTCATTCTACTATTATGCATGCATACTTAACAAAAAGAGGAAAATAGTAACTTACTCGTACACCTTTAGGACCTAGATTACCTTCTGGGCCAGCTAGACCCTAGTGTGAATAAAAGACATCATCATCAGACTGCAGTACTTTTTAGAGTTGTTTATAAACAGATTAATAAGAAGGACATATAAAGAGGTGTCATTTTCACAATTATAAAACTCTGTATGCTTAATGCAGACTATATATGTTCAAGGACTTTTATAATTTCAGAACCAAAAGAGGCACTGTATATAATCTATATAAAAATATATTTTAGGTATCTAAATAAAGTAAATTAACACATCAGATACAAAAATAAATATTTTTTCATTAAATTATTCTCATTGGAAAACTATGTTCTTTTAAAACACTTGTAATTTAACTTATCTAAAATATATTCCTATAATTTAAAAAAATAAATATTTAACTTCAATGTCCATATATTTGAGTATTTCCAGTTTATTTTATATTTTTCATATAATATAAATCATCACTTGGTGGTAAGACTCTAATATGCAATACCTTCCATGTACTTTTAAAGACCAAAAAAAATGAAATTTTGTTAATTGATTATTTTTGGCAGTTTTATTTCTCTCATTCTTGATAATAAAAAAGCTATTATAAGTGTATAATTAATGAATGAATAATTAATTTTAAGAGTCAGTAATCAATTCATAAAAACCTAGGAAAGAAAATGTGTTCCACTATTAGTCTACATGAAGTAACGAAGTAAGAAATTAGAGGGAAATAAATATAAAATGATTAGAATCCATTTTAAAACAGTATACAGAGATTAAATTTAGTTCAGATAAAAGTATTTGGTAGTGGCATATATAGCACTGCTAACATTATCCCAAGCTTTTATAACTGTGTTATTTAAAAATGATGTTTATTATACAGAAGAGTCTTAACTCTTAGTATTACTTCATTTTCATCAGTGGCAGTATTGTAAAATCAGCAGCTGGGCTATTTCAAGATCTTATTAGACCTGTGAGCATTTTAATTTTGAAAGTATATCACATCCAACAGCTTTAAAACCCCACTCCCATTTTAACAATACTTTCTGTAGTTAAATTTTTGATGGATTTTTAATAGTTTTGATTTTGACATTATTTTGTAATGCTCTGAGTAATTCATTATTTAAGAAAATAAACCAATTATCATTTGAACATTAATTCTCAAAATCAGGACATACAATGTGTTAATAAAGACAAACAAGAAAGGAGAAGTATAAGTATAGTTACCTCACCTGCCTGCCAGGGTAACCAGGTGAACCAATATTTCCAGTGAATCCCGGAATTCCCTGAAATGAAAAATAACGTACAACAAAGTCAAAAGAAGCCCAAGGGAACAAACGTGATGCATTCATAATACCCAAATTTGGAAAGAAATTTTTCCTTATAAAAATGCTGATTGAAATCACCTGTTTGAAATAAAAATGAGCCCAAATTGCTAAATTAAAAAAAAAACTGTTAGATTAGGGACCGAAATGAGACATTGCACATTAATAATAATAAGTGAAGGATGGAAAAATCCAGTACTACATAAATAAAGAAGACATTTATTATAGAGAAAGAGTTGGTACATTTCTTAATAACCACTATCCTTTTTAATTGAATTCCTTCTTGTCTCAGTCATAGGCAATAAAATCTAAGACATCTCTCGTAGCAATATTTTTGGGTTCACATATAACCCAGATATATCTCCTTGGGCAAGAGAAACAAAGGAAAAAATAAACAAATGGGACTATATCTAACTAAAAAGCTTTTGCACAGCAAAAAACCATCAACGAAATGAAAAGGGAACTCCTCTTAACTGTCTGAGCATAAGCCCCACAAGACTAAATAAGTGTGAATTTCAACACCAACCTTTTCAACTTTCCTAATGTCAACATATTCTTGTTTTTACTCTCTTTCACTTATACATCATTCATTCATTCATTCATTCATTCATTCATCAATTTACTCAGAGTTTATGGCTATCAAATAATTCTTGAAACAAGGAAATGCCAGAAGAATGCGTATTGCGTTTCCTTTACCTCATATGATGACAGCACGAGTAAAATTCAGGTTCCTTATTTATCATGTAAAATTCATTTCTTTCTTGCTGTTTGCAAAAGAGATAATGAAAGACACTAGCCCTTTGCCCATTTGCCCTGAAATAGAAGTTACCTCTATTTTAAGTATAGAAACACTATAAAGCTCCGGGAGCTCAAAAATTCTAGAGAAAGAAAAGACCAAAGAAAACACGAAGAATAGAAAATCACAGTTGAAAGGTTTTCCCTCCCATTCTATTAGACATGTAGGCTTCCAATATATCTTTCTTTCAATTTCTCTAAGAATCCATTTCTCAATTTTATTCTGTCTCATTTTACCCCCTCCTCTCTCCCTTCCTTCCCTTGCTCCAACAATTACAATTTACCAAGCACTTTTTTATGAGCAATCACCATGCCAAGTACTTTAGAGATACTATTTCCATTCTACAATGAAAAAACTAGCATACAGGGAAGCTGTGAAATTTACCCAAGATGCCACAGTAAGTAGCAGACCCTGAATGTGAACCCAGATACAAGTTTTGGTATGGGTATAAACCCACACACATAAATACATGCATATATACATACAGATTATGTATGTATACGACATTTGTGCACTGGAGGGGGCGGGTCCCTCAGCCTGGCCTGCGCCCTGTCGCAGTCTGGGACCCCTCACTTCTTACAGCCTGCCTGCAGTGGAGGTGGGAGAGGCTCTCGCCACTGCCGCTGTGCTCACCAGCCGTGAGCCAGGCTTCTGGCTGAGCAGCACTCTCCCTGTGGGAGCGCACTGACCACTGGGGGGCAACGCCTGTGTTGAGCCTCTGCCCCCTGGGGGTCAGTGTGCCTAAGTTTCTGGTGGGGAATTGGGGCTAATCATCATAATATATTATATAGGATATATATATATATGTATATATATATATACATATATATATATATATATACACACACACACACACGACAACGGACAATTTAACAGAATATGAATAAACAGTGGTCTTCTGACAATTATAGAATAAAATTCTTGTCTACAAGTGAAAAGATTATATCCTATGTATTTTAGAAACCATATTTATGTACTAGATATTACCTTATTAATATTACATATAATACATGGTTATTATTTCTATAATAAAATTTATTGAGTACCTATCATATGCCAGGAACTATGTATTTCAAGTAATATCCTATATAATAAAAGGGTGATATGCAAATTGATCCTAGCTGCAGAACAACTGGGAATGACTGGTCACTATGACACACACTGACCACCAGGGGGCAGACACTCAATGCAGAAGCTGCCCCCTGGTGGTCAGTGCACTCCCACAAGGGGAGTTCTGCTCAGCCACTAGCCAGACTGACGGCTGCTGAGTGCAGTGGCAATGGCGGGAGTCTCTCCCACCTCCACGGCAGCACTAAGGATGTCCAACTGATGACTTAGGCCCACCTAAGCCATCAGTTGGACATCCCCTAAGGACTCCCAGACTGCAAGAGGGCACAGCCAGGCGGAGTGACACCCCCCGCCCCCCACGAGTGCACGGATTTCATGCACCAGGCCTTTAGTATTTAAATAATAACAGAGAGGACCACATTCGCACTGTTTAAATGTCTTGGTGACTAAATAAGGGATATTGTTTGTTTATAATAATAAAAGTACAGTTACCATATATATACATACATACACACACACATCTACCAGAAAGATTACATAGCCTAAAGCATTGATAGGGTTCTACTAATAACAGTTTTTTTAATAACTTTTAATTTGGTACCTGACAATAATA